TCACCCCCCACAAGTAGTACAGTGTCACTATGGTGACATTGTACTGCAAGGGTGACAGTATGTTAAAAAAAACATAAATAATAATATAAAAAAAATAAAAATGTAAACAAAAGTTTGAAACATTATAATTTTTGGTTGTAAACTAATTTGGGCTATTTTTTTTTACTATAAAGACACCTGAATACATTTTGGCCAAGATTTGTGAAGAAATATTATTCATTTGCAAAATTGTATAAGAAAAACACTTGTTTTTCAAAACTTTTGGTTTTCATTTATGTAGCAAAAAAAAATAAAATCCTAGTGGTGAATAAATGCCACCAACATAAAGTTTTATTTGTCTCAAAAAAATGCTAAAAAATTCATATGGGTCCAGTGTTGCATGACCACGCAATTGTCATTCACAATGTGATAGCACGGAAAGCTGAAAATTGGCCTGGACAGGAAGGGGGTAAAAGGGTCCAGACATGAAGTGGTTAAAGAAGACACCAAAAAGGTAACAACCAGCAGAAGGGTAATGGCTACTGAAACAATCAACTATGGTTATGGATATTTCTGGTTGAGACACTGAAAATAAAAATTAACTCTGCATATGCAAGAACAGATTCACAGGATGCAAGCTCTGTGTTTAAAATGTATCCGTTCTAACAAAATGTATTATTACATTCTATTTTATTCGGAAGATAAGAAAGGGAGCGGTGTGAGATGTTATTAAAAAGAAGAAAATAGAATAATGTTAAATTTCATATGACATCAGCTTTGCCAAACAGTTGAGAAACTAAAACATTGAGAAGAGAAGAGGAGAAAAAGAGAGAACTTCTGGGAAAGCTTTTTCTGTGTCTTAGCTGAAGGACATAGAGACATTTCAATATTGCAAGCAAAAAGTGCTTCAATGAACAATACAGTTTAAGTCCATGTCACTTTTAAACGCCTCATGAAGTGATAGAGTAAGCATTGTCTGAACAACAACTTGAGCATGTAGCCCCAAAAGTACTTGCAGGAAAAAGAACAGAAAATCAATTAAATTGAAATTAACGTCTTCTGCGACCTCAGTCAGAATAAAAGCAAGATTCAAAAAGTCATCCTAGCTAGGCAATTGTAATATATGGTTCGTACAGTGCCACAGCATTATGGAAAGAAATGCAAAAACTACCTATTCATAAGAAGCAAATGTGAATTAATGCTGCAGATGAATTGGTGAAAATTTGTTAACCATCTCCAAGCTAGAATGTAAAGGTGTAAGCACATCAATGGAAATAGCTTACCTAAAACTGAAATGAGAAGATCCTCTACTTAACAATGAACAATACAGACAAGTAGTGGAGACACTTTCACACATTGCAACCACTACAGGTTCAGATGTCAGTACTGACATAACACTTCTCTGCAAATGTGTAAGTAAACCACTACCAAAGTCAAAGTCTGAAGAACTCTAAAAGAAGATGAGACTTAGAGTTGTTGCTTAGGGATGTTACCATGCTGTTTATACAGACCTAGGTGCAACAACCATTATCACATATTACACTTCGATTAGTTAGTGGCACTAGGTGGCAATGTAATGGAAGCATATGTCTATGCTGGTTTAATTAATTGTTCTTTCTAGTGAAAATGTCACTGCAGGAGACAGTTGTGATAAAGGAACCAGCAAAAGGAAAAAAGGTGTTCAATGAAGGACCAGGGATTCAACACTCTCTGAAGTGTTTTGGATGTAGAGGATTCTCCTGGCACCATAGATGTTAAATAGTAAAAATTGGCAGCTGGTTAGTGCAACAGGTAAGGCAAATAATCTTTTCTTTACAGAAGAAACATGTTTTCTAGCTTTTAATTTTGCAACATGGATAATTTAATGCTGCCAAAAATGTTGGTTTAGTGCAGGTCACCTTTCTCAAAGCACGCCACCCTTGGCCAGAGCGCTGAAATCTATGGAGTGCCTCAATTCATGGGTACGTGTTTATATTCTATATAATCATGGTTTAGATCAGGGGTGTCCAACCTTTTGACTTTCCTGGGCCACACTGGAAGAAGAGGAATAGTCTTCTGCCCACACATAAAATATATTAACAATATAGATAGATAGCTGATGAGCAGATCACAAGTTAACGATCAATGCTATAGATCATGTACCTAAACTTAATTTTTTGCAATATTTTTTATCATAAAAGTAAAATAGGGCAATATAAAACTAATGCAAAATTTGACACAGTTTTTGATAAACGAATGCATCAATATCTGGTTGGATGGGTGTAGTAGCAATTATCAATGATTTCTCAGGGTGCTCATCAGATATTTTTGTTCTAATTTTGCCCTTCATGTGCTTGATAAACTAATGCATCAATATGTGGTTGGATGGGGTGTAGCAGCAATTCTCAATGAATTCTCAGGGTGTTCATCAGATATTTTGGTTCTAATTTTGCCCTTCATGTGCTTGATAAACTAATGCATCAATATGTGGTTGGATGGGTGTAGCAGCAATTCTCAATGAATTCTCAGGGTGTTCATCAGATATTTTGATTCTAATTTTGTCCTTTGTGTACTTCATCCTTGAAAATATTTGCTCACAAATGTACACTACATGCTGCTGAAAACTGATGACATAAATAAGGCATGATTGTGAAGAGTGGAATATTTTTCTTTGGGAAGATAAAACTTCTAAAAGTCCATTAAAAAGACACTGTCACATTTTTCTTTGGCTGTATGTGTTCGCTAAGTGTAAATGCATTTGACCAAAATTCCTATAAAAATCACCTCTTTTATGTAAATTTACGATTGTGTTGGGCCGCTTTCATAACCATATTAAGCTGCATGTGGCCCGTGGGCTGCAGGTGGACACCCCTGGTTTAGCTGATCAGTAGTACTGCATTCACTGTTGTAATAGTTCATTTTTAATAGTTATCTTTCTTGTGACTGTGTGAAAAGATAACCTTCACATATAGCTTCGTAGACTGCAAACTATCCAACAGCTGTACAATTGTAATTCTTTTGATCTTGCTTTCATCAAGCCAAGATAACACATTTCTATCAATGGTTATATGTGTTCCAGAGTCAGTGCACCAGGTAACAAATACTAAGGAGCCCTCTTTGGAGTGAAAAACAGATTTAGTATTTGAAGCATTGTTCTGTTCTTGTTTAGCACAGCATATCACGCTTTTTTTTTTTAGATGTCATTATTAGGTTGTTAGTGCAGAGCCAGCATTTTCAATGTTTGCACTTCTTTTGATTGTTGCACTTTTTATATTTGTAAAAAGGAAACATCAACAATGATTTTTTAAATTTTTATTTTTTAATTTCTATATTAATTTTAAAACCCTTATTGTTTCTCCCTGAAGATAGTTTCTTCTAGTTTACATTTATTTTGTGGAGATTTGACCATTTATTCTCATGTTTTTTACCAGTAGGTCATTAACAGCCATATTAGAAGATAATATCTTGTATAATATCTTATATCTTATATTGTTTATATTGTCTTTTTTGTTTTGCATTCTTTTTTCCTCCACAAGATGTTGCTGGTGAGACCATAGATTGTTCATGAAGACTGGTCATTTTATACATACAATCCAAAGATGGCCATCATGGTTTCATGCAGGGGCGGACTGACCATTTGGGAACTCTGGCACTACCCGAGGGCCCGGGGTCAGTAGGCGGCCCCATGAGGTGCCCCTTGGTACCTTTCATAGGCTTTTCTGAGTGTGGTTTGAGTGTGGGTGAGGACACAGGGGCCCCATGATCCCCTATTGCCTGGGGGGCCCCATGAGTTGTCAGTCCGCCCCTGGTTTCATGTATCTACTTCTTGTTCCAGAGTTTCCTTTGATCTTCATTAGGTCTACTGTAAGGGTTCTTCAAAATGTTTCCACACTATTTTTAAATAAATAAAGACCCCTTGTATATAAGGAGAATGGCTCCTTGTGGCATCTGTGCCCCTGATGATGCAATTTATGATGAAACATGCTGGGTGGAGCAGGAAGCCATGACATCACCTTGCATGTGTGCATACCTCTGAGGTTTCTGGGATGTGTCGTTTTTACAGCGTTTATGTAAGTGCTTTAACTGCTTTTAAGTAAAATATATACCCAAAATTTACACTATTAGAAGTGTTTTTTTTTTCTTTTTCTATGTAAAATGCCTTTGCCCTGCTTGTGATGATCAGAAAAGTGCTCCTGTGAGTTATCTGTGATGCCGGTGTTAAGGGAAACAACCATCGCTTTAAGACTTCTCATGTGAGGGTCACAATTTTTCTGGTAAGCCTGAGTGGTTGGTGGAGCACACGTGGTGTTTTCTGCACTTGAGTGGAAGATTTCTTCTATCTTTGGCACTTTATTTGTGCAGAATGAATTCACCGGTGGGAGTTACTACAAATGATATTGTGGACTTTAATGTTATTTCAATTACTTTTTTTTCATATTAATTTCACTTGTTTTAGTGCTGTACTTTTCCATTTTATGGTTGAATTGAAAAATGTTTCATACCCATCTGGAAATCTCCTAAGTGGCATTGCTACTACATAAATGTATTTTATTTCTTCTCCTATTGTTCTTAGGTGTTCCACCATTTTTAGAGTATATCTTATCTGTGGACCAAACTCAGACAACCCAGGAATTTTTTTTCAGTCTGTACATCTTAGAAAGCCCTGTAAGTGCTAGGTTATTGTCAGATTAGACTTTATAGCTTCCTAATTAAACACAGTTTGTTGCTGAAATTTGTTATTTAATGGACATTTTGTATCTCCTCTCACATTTCTGTTGATTATGTGCACACACTGATCATCACCTATGATCAGGAATAAATTAGTTTGAACATACAAAGAAAAACTACTGTAATTGGAAAGCCCATAAAAAATGAATATGTTAAAAAAAAAGATTAAAATAAAACCTAATAGTATTTGCATTAAAGTATTAATGCACAAAGGTATTACAATATTAAAGCACTAAACTATATTAAAGTATATGCACTTTATAAACCTCTTCTTCAGGGATTTCTGAAATGATTGAAATTTCCTCTGTCCCTGAAGACATGCTAAACACCGTCTACTACAATGGTGTGTCCAGTGGTGTGTGCGGGTATGTCCCCGTAGACTCATTGACTCACATACAGGGGCGGACTGACAACTCATGGGGCCCCCGGGCAATAGGGGATCATGGGGCCCCTGTGTCCTTGCCCAAACTCAAAAAAGCCTATGAAAAAGGTACCAGGGACATCTCATGGGGCCCCCTACTGACCCTGGGCCCTCAGGCAGTGCCCGAGTTTCCAAATGGTCAGTCCGCCCCTGCTCACATACTTTTAAAGATCCCCTCCTTGGCACCAGAGTATTTAACCTTGTAACTTTAGAAGCATTCTCTAGTGCTCTTGTCATTATCAATATCATTGCAAACTTTGCATAACTTTTATGACAAAATGACAGGCTCCAGGTTCCAATAGCAGAAGCTACTCTCCTCTAATGCAAACCATTGCCAATATTAAATTAGCTGCTATGTAACCTGGTAATCCCAGAAAGTTGTCTAATACTGCCTTTCTTTGTACGCTAATTGCAGTGGCAAGAAGCTAAAGACTTATATTGTTGCATTATTAAGCACAACATAATTTTTTATAATGAGAGCTCAGACTTCAGACTAGAAAAAGGGAGCTTCTTATTGATTAGATTCATATTATATAAAACTAAAATTCCTTTGACTAAATGCATGAACACGTATTTACATAGGGGGCATGAATTTATAAAAATAAAACAAAAATGAGCAAGATACAAAACCAGACATAACCTTTCATGATAATGCTGGAAATATATCTGTTGATGTCTTCTTTTATTTTTGGAATGTAGTAGCAGAGCAATGTAACAGGGCTTTCTATCATATTCAACTATCCTTCTGCAATGAAGGGCCTTTTTATGCTCTATAAACAAACATATGCTAATGCAGTAGTTGTCACTAGCTCTTCTTTCACATCAACCTACTTTCAACAAAGGTTCACCTATTGTTCAACTACCTATGAGCTCTACCTGCCTCAGTCGGAATTCACCTCTGTACGCAATGTATATGCATTTGCCTCTGTATGGATCTGGTTTGTATTTCCTGAATGCTGCCACTGTAACTCCCACTCTCTGTCATTTGTACTTGAGTTGCAGACCTAGATTAGGTCACTGCAGGGGCGGACTGACCATTTGGAAACTTGGCACTGCCCGAGGGCCCGGGGTCAGTAGGGGGCCCCATGAGATGCCCCAGTACCTTTTTCCATAGGCTTTTTTGAGTTTGGGCAAGGACACAGGGGCCCCATGATCCCCTATTGCCCGGGGGCCCCATGAGTTGTCAGTCCGCCCCTGGGTCACTGTTATCTTTTTCTCCAATAAACTATTTTGAACAAGAAACAAAAGTATGCTTAACACTTTCACCTAGTGGCAGAGTTCATAAAAATAGCATACTGTTATATATGAGAATAGTGGTTCCATGTAAACATCATGCTAACACTGTAACATCTAGGTACGCATAGGCACACTAGTAAGGCAGAGTATGGCTGTAGCAAATGGTATTCCTAAATAATAGATAAAACTAAAAGTTCATGTAGGAATATATGTTCACTTACACTGGGAAAAAATATAAATTTGAAAGATCTGAAGCTGTCGTTATTTTAAAAGTTTTGTGATTTAATGGCTTACACAGCCTGCTAGAGCAATGCTTTAGCTCTACCTCATTTTTTCCACAAAAAAATACAATTAAGTTCATGTCTTATTGAAAAATGGCCCCAGACAATTTATAACAAATTATGGTTAGGAAGGATGGGATAAAGTTATAAAAACTGTGCAAAGTGTGTGATACTACACTGATGATGCTGATGTTAAGAAGAGGAAAAAGGTTACAGATTCTAATGGAAGCTGGAAGACTCTACTGGAGCTTAGGGGCTCTGCAGAAAATTGGGGGCACTCTATTGGGCTCCACACGGGACAGAAGTGTACTGGGGCTCAGGTGAATGGAGGCCCTGCAATAGGCTGGGGGGCATGCTTAAGGAAATCAAGGCACTATTGTGGTTTTTCAGGGCACTGGAGCTTTGCAGCAGGCTATGGGACAATGTTGGGGCACTATGGAGAGCTAGAGGTTTTGCTAAAGTCTATGAGGCACACGAGGGGTGAGGCCTCTGTAGCTAGCAGGAGGTATTGTAATGAGAAGGAAGACTGTAGAGGAGGGCAGGGGTGATATTACTTTAGGGGGCACTAAACTGTAGGGAGCAGTGGAGGAAGTAGGTTAAGCATTGAATCGTATGGGAATAGGGAAGCACTGATGTGCAATAGAGATTTCTGCTGAAATCTAACTTGGTACCATTCACAATAACTTCTAATTTTTCATTGAGATACAGAAATGAAATCCAACACAATTTGATTTTAAATATGTGCAGTGCAGAAGGTGTGTTTAAGGTCTTTTGATGTGTAATAAGACAGCAACTTTCCTAAGCCCTGTCTTGGTGATGAACTGAAACTAACTGAAGGAACAAGAGAAGGGAGGTTTAGCTGAACAGCATATCAAATAACTCTAAACAGAAGGGGCAAAAAAAAAAGTAGACATGCTGCATCAGGGGAGGCATAGATCTAAAGTGCCTCCCTGGGATGTCTTATGGAGCAGTGCCTTGTGATGGAACACTCAGCATTCCAACATTGAGCAAGTGCTGCTGCTCTTAAATGTCCTGTATTCTAAAGGGAGCTTTCCTCAGTTTACCACTACTCATCTCAGAGGCGTTGACTGGGATCTTTATGGATCAGGCCCTATATTTACTGCATGGGATGCTATGTAGGCAATTCTATCAGTGTATGCAATATGTGATTGACATGGAGTGCTGCAACACTCTTCCACTCCAGATCTTTGAGAAAATGAGGAACTACAGGGGGTTGATATTAACCTCCCTAGCTGTATTATTATTTCCGATTTTTGGTGCTGAAAGCGGTACCATTATTCTGCATGGAAATATGTAGTTTTTTTATTGTAGGCTGTAATATTTAGGAATAACTCACTGAAATCTGTCCGAACAAGAGTCTAATAAACATCCCGGGTATGATAAAATTTGAAACACAAAATCATAAATTATAATTTAATAAATAATCATAAAAAATAATAATATAATAATATTACATTTAATTCAATAATATAATCAAACCAAAAACACTGAAATTTGAAATATAGCGCCAAGTTCGCACATTGCTGAGCAAAGTCGCAAAATCGTTTTCAGTGTCTGATGACGAATTTCTCCACGAATCATTATCACTCAATTCTGCAAGTGGTTCTGATTTACTATCGCTGTTTTCTAGCTGATCTAAACCCGCTTTTGACCTAAAGGGATGCTTTTTGGACGCCGTGGACTTTTCTAAATTTCCAGGCAGAAAGAACATTCAAAATGCAGACAGGGGACAGGACAAAGCACTAGGGACAAAATGTATGTGAAATGGGTTGAAACAGCAATGTTTTACTATGAAAAATCGTTTTGAAAAAAAATGAATTTTTTTAAATTTTCAAATTTCCCGCCGCCGGCAGCGCCCGTACGTCCCGACGTTACAGGGACCGGAACACAGGAGCCAGATGCCGGCATCTGCCGGAGGAGATGGCCGGGGACGCTGCAGGGGACACACCGCGGGAGTGAAGGACAAGGTAAGTGCTACAGGGACTCCCTATGCAGCGCTGCATGGTAAGCCCGAGTGCAGCTCGGGGTTACCGCTTTTGGTATAGAAATTTTACCCCGAGCTACACTCGGGAATACCGCCAGGGAGGTTAAGTTATTATTTTCAAATACAACAGAGGACTTTGATGATTAATACATAACTGGATTTAATTGGGACATTTAATATCTGACATCACTTCGTTAAGGTAAAAAGTCTGTTTACCTAAAAACAAAAAATATTCAAAATAAGCACAAGGAACATTACCTACCTTCAGTGAGATGTGTCCCTTATGCTTTTTTCTTCTTTTCCACTTTTAATTTTCCTCTGCCAATGCTCTGTCTGCCTTTGGTGCAGTTTGAACTGAGGAGCTGCCACAGGCACTCATCAAGTGCCTAACTCCTGCATTCATAGAAACCATACTACAGCTTTGAACTTTGAATAAAACACAATCTATAAATTGAGGACTGGCATATGATTTAAATGTCCCCCCTCTTCATTCATAGATCCTGTTTCATTCATAGAAGCTGTAGTACAGTTTCTAAGAATGGATGGAGAAGTTGAACAGGAAGGGCAGGCATAGTTGGGCACTTTTGATGAGTGCCTGTGACAGCTCCTCAGTTCTATTATTATACAGGATTTATATAGCGCCATCAGTTTGCTCAGCACTTTACAAAATGAAGGTAGACATTACAGTTACCAGGGGCGGACTGACAACTCAAAGGGGGCCCCGGGCAGTAAGGGATCATGGGGCCCTTGTGTCCTTGCCCAAACTCAAAAAAGCCTATGAAAAAGGTACCAGGGGCATCTCATGGGGCCCCCTACTGACCCCCGGCCCCTGGGGCAGTGCCCGAGTTTTCCAAATGGTCAGTCCGCCCCTGACAGTTACAATACAATTTGGTACAAGAGTAAACAGAGGGCCCTACTCATTAGAGCTTACAATCTAGGAGCAAGGGTTGAGTGATACAAAAGGTAATAGCTGTGGGGGGATGAGCTGATGGAGGAAATAAATGGTGGCTTACTAGGTAGATTCAGGATACGCTTCTTGCATCTACCTAGTAAACCACCATTTAATTAATCCCCACCACACCAAAAGATTGTAGTGGTGGGTGGGGGTAGGAGAGCATTAAAGGAGGACGATTACTACTGAACTGGAAGGCAGAAGCAAAAGGAGCCATCACACTGAAGGTAGGTAATGCCCCTTGTGCTTATTTTGTTTTGGTTTTTTTCAGGTAAATATAGGCTTTAAGCAGAGCTAGCTCTTTATTCACTTTAAAAGGATGCCACGAGAAACAGCAGTGATGAGTAGTTGGCAGATAAAACGACAGAATGCAGCATTAGGCCAGAGCTATTTGAACAGAGCCAGGATGGGACTCATCTGCTGGATGGGTGTAAGCATTAATTAACTTTTTAGAATGGATCTTTAAAAAAAATGTGAATGAATTACCTTATCCTTACTAGTTTAGGATCACAAGTTTCAGATGTACAGAATGTAATAACATAATATGTACAATAATCTCCATTAAACATACAGTAGCATTAATAGGTCACGTTTAAAGATGCTGATCACCCCTGCTCCCTCCATATTCATGAAGTTTAGTGTGCCCAATCTGCACCCATACTTAAAGTGAACTTGTGC